TCCTTGTCTGAAACTTACATTTTTTTTCATGTCCTTCAGTAATCTGGGTAGAATAAGAAAATTCCATGTGGTGTTCAAGGAATGGCACACCACTTGTATGTATACAATGGCACTGTGATTTCTGCAGTTATGGTTTCCATCCCTTTCTGTAGAAGAGGTTAACATCCTCCTTGTCTTTTTATTGCCACTGTACACTGAGCAGATGTTTTTGTTCAGCAGTCCACAATGGCATCTTCTGCTAGAGTGATCACAAATCATTCAGGATACCTCACCTCCATGAGAGTTTAAATTGCCCCACTACCACCTTGCAGTTGTGAGCACTGGATTTTATCTGTCACGTTGATTAAGAACTCGCTACCTCTGTACATCTCTGAGATATATAATATAAACATGTAGAAGAAACACGTGAAGCGTGGCTTTGCCATCCTGTGTGTCAAACATTCACCATTTGTTATTTCAAAAAATTTTTAACCTCTGATACACTCCCTCTTCCTCTCTCCATCAAAATACTTCATTTGATATCTTCAGAGCACTTTGTAAAGATTTTGTGAATGTCCAGCTGTGTTTATGAAATGAGAAAAAGTAATGTTCCAGACTAAGACAGAAAGATCCCCAAACTGGAAACATTCCAAATATTAAAACATAAGGACATCTAAACCATGTCTGATTAGATTTAACTGAGAAACTGCTTGAAGACTACCGATATCTAAAATAATTAAAATGCTGAAGTGTGATCCTCTCTGGAAACAAAGTGAAACTATTTTGAGTTTGAGCCAAAACAGAATTTGTGAAGGGGAAAATTATAAGAAAAAAAACTGGAGAAAAATCAGGGACCATAAAAGGTGATCCTTAAAATTGGCATCTAGCAAGCAAAAAATATTATCATTCACACAGAAGTGTTATTTCCCAGATGTCCTTTAACCACCGTCTCTTGTTTCCTTCATACAATTTTAATGACAGAGAAGCACAACTTACATATTGCTTTTTGCCTATAACATCAAGACTGTGTTTTATTTTTCTACCTCTTGTTTTTTCAACTGATTTATCTTCTACCAAGTCAAGGTGCCTTAAAGGGAACCGAAAAGGCTATTTTAAAAATAAATATTTCATTGGGTACTCAGACTATTATATAGCTGTGATGGAACATACTGTCATGTTTTGAACAACTTAATTCTACAACCCCTGTTTTTTAATGAATCTGATCTAATCCCACTTATTACCATTAAATATCAGTTGGCTCTTACATATGTATAGCAATACTTCCATCTCTGGAATCACTCAGGGCTGGGTATTTCGATGTTAGTATCTCTGGTGGGAATGTGTTTAGAGAACTCATTCTCAGATGAGAACCTGGTTCCTTTGAGGTCAACAAACACTTGGTACTTAACAGGGTCACAAAATCAGCTAACCTATCCCTTAACTTGTGCTGGGGGATGACAGGGTAGAGCTTGTCAGGCTGTAGAGCTGGGCTAGTCCCATTATGTGAAGTAAACAGAAGACTGAGTGGCTCAGCACCTCTTGAAGTCATGCATTAATATTTCAAATTGGACTTTTTTTTAAAATTATTTTATCCACAGCATTGCTCCCTGAGACCAGCACAATGTTTCCCACCAGAGATCATTTGGCCTGCCCATGCATTTTGCTGCCATGGATAGCTTTTCCACCCTGTGGAGCTAAGCATAGAAGAAAAGATTAAGACCAACATAATTTGGGGAGTAGCAGTAAAATAAATAAATTAAAAAAATTGTTGAGGAGGGAAGGTGCTCTAGGCTCTGACATGTGCTCTGAAAACCAAGCTTGGCTATAAGCAGTGATCTTCTCATAACAGCAGAGAAATAAATACAATCTGGAGCTGTGCCTCTGTGAAATTAAACATGGTCAAATATTTGATATTAATAATATGAGCTACATATCTCTCAATGACAACCAGTATTTTCCAGCCAAGCAACCAAATGAAGAATTTTAGACTTCACTTTATTGAGCAGTGATGAGATTAGATAATCTAGTAGTAAAAAATGCCTTTGGGTAGAACGCAGACTGTCCCAGCTCGCATTAACAGAAAGATAGATGAAAACAGATCTGTTAATGTGTTTCTATTATGGAAGTGAAAGTTCTGAAAACCTAAGGGAACCAATTACTTATACCAGACAGAGAACTTACGGACTTGATTACTGATGGGGCTTGAAAATTACTGTAAACTGCCCAAGAAAGTCATGCAGAGAAATAGTCCAATTCTAAAGGGACTAATTACAGCTTTGGCAGCACGTAACTCTAACACAGAGTTTGCAATGAATGGAGAATACAGCTACTCATTTTGAAACTTACAGTGTGCAGGTGTTACATTAAAAATACAAGCTAAAAACTGGAGAAATGCACAGATCAAAATCAGCAAGTGTACTTAACCTATATTCAAGAAATCTTGGAAGAACTAACTGAGCAGATTAGATTAAAAGGGCTACAAAATGGTACTAAACTGTCTTTTTCAAGGGAAGATGAATTAATAGTGGGACACCATGAACACAGATTTATGGAATGATAGTTTATGACTAACAAGACACATTTAGTCAGCTAACTTATCCAAAGCAGGGCTGATGTGGTTTAATTTTTCTGTGACTCTTACTGGCACAAAAAAAGGGGGAGCATACAGTAGGTAACAGCTTGAAGACAACCATCAGCACAGTAGAGATTCAGATCATCCCCCAGAGCATGCCTTACAGTTGCAGCAATAGAAATTAAGTAAACCAGCAGGAGATGAAAGGTTATGGGTGTTGTGATTCATATCAATAATTTTGTTGGTGGCAGGCTTGGAAACAGGGTCATAATTTGAAAACTTCTTTTAACTAGTAGCCCCCAGAACCTCTCTGTTCCTAAATAACTACGATCTATCAGTGTAACGACACTGTGAAAAAAGATGATTACAGGTTTAGAATACATCATGAGAGAAGAAAGTCTCTAACATTTCATCTAAAAATAACTGGTTTAAGTTTAACCACCCATGCTCAAAGAAAAAGTACAGACAAGGGGATGATATTCACAAAGACGACCTTATTTTATGCAGACTAAAGGAACTGGTTTGCCTAGCCCACAAGATAAACCTTCAGAGATGATGCTTACTCTTTTCAAATACATCAAGGATTTGGGAGTAAGGGGGAAAATTAACGAACAAAATAAACCAAGTTAAACTTAAGAACAAACACAGTGAGTTAGGTACAAATAAATACACGGTGGAAGTTACATTTATGATCCATAAGAGAAATGTGATTCTGTAGCAGGCTTCTGTTTGGACTTACCTTGTGCAACAGACATTTGACTTGCTCATCTGCTACAGGAGGCAAATGAGACTTCATCACCTAACAGCTCCCATTTTGATTTTTGCATAAAAAGGGCAAAAAATTTTTTATAGTACCCAAGTTCTTCCAGGAAATCCCAACACCTAGACCAAGAAATTGTCACCTTTTCTAGATTCCCTAGCTGTCTTGGCACGTTGTTCTCATATCACCTACAGCACATACATGTAGTTTGTTTGCTCTGAGGCACAGGGAGACACGCTGTTTGTCTCTGTGGAGAGGCATTACTCTGCAGACAGAAAGTACATTAAGAAACAAATTATACCATATAATTATACCTCAATTATAGCCATAAAGCATTATTACAATCTGAACCCACTATAGTTTGGGGTCTCTCCTCTGAGTCTTCCTTTCTTCACTGCCACTTTTCTGCAGCCTTTGCTGGTCCTTTGATCAAAATCACCATGCTTCATTAAGCTTCCTTTTAGCTCTAGTGAGGAAGTTGTAGCAACAGACAGTATTACTCTGTTTTGTTCCGAGCTCAGGCTCTTCAAACACTAGTCATTAGCATTTTAAAGCCACCCCTAAAAAAAGAAATGTGGCACCCAAAAGCTATTCTGTTACAAATAGTATTTTATTGCTCTTATACACACTTGTGCTGATGCTGTTTGATAACTAGTATTTGTATAGATTTGAACTATACCAACAGAACCTGAACTTCTGTGAAACAACCATTCAGTTCATTGATTGACAGATGTTGCAAGCTACCTTAAATGCACCATGCTACAGAAGGGTGTGTTTTAGGTGAAAAAAGTAAACCAGAAAACCTCACTGATGGAAAGCAACTCAATACTTGCCACCTAACAGCATTATCTGCAAGGGTGAAGAAACCATTACAGTGTTATGCCAGCACTTTTCGTACCCCATGTCTTCAGCCAATAAGGTGGTCACAAGAAAACCAGATGTGAAAACGAGTTCCTACTCATGCTCTCAACAGGGCCACTAATTTAAACAGTGGTCATATTCAAGTTGGTAGAAGTATCCTGACAGCATTCTTCACAGCTCCTAGACTACCTTTAATTACACAGGCCCCAACATTAGGCATGACCCTCTGCTAAAGCTACAGCTAAAAACTGAAAGCTATCAATAGTTATAGAATATTAATAATTCTTTTTCCAGTCAGAGTGGTAGTTATTACTGCTGTACCCTTTTTCCAGGCTACCTCATCATCAGAGCCTGAAGCCTAATGAAATCTGCCAGGCAACGCATATGTTCTCCTTAGAGCAACAATAATGTAGCACACTACAGAGACCTAGTAACAGCAGCTCTTTAGCAGAGTGTGGAAGCAAAGCTAAATAAAATGTTGTCAACTGATCACCCCAAAGTACTGAAGATAATTCCGCAGCATGGATCATGGTGACAGCATACCCACTGTGATTCTCATTGGTTATAATCTATCCCAGGTCATATTCTGTGAGTAGTCTAAAGTGTTTGAGAAGACCGCATAGCTTAGTAAAGCTATTTAAACATCTATCCAGCTAAAAATGTTAAGCCCAACTTCAGTTTTGACATGCAATTTTTCCAACCCTCTATTTTTATACGTGAAGACGATAGTGTTTAATTTAATATCAATACACTGCAATTTGAAGGGGTTCTCAGTATATACCAGTTGTCAAAAGCATTCAGGAATTTCACAAAATGCGCACAGCCCAAGACCTTCAGATTTAAGGTTTTATTTAGTCACATCCAGCATGGTACACAATTACAGCTATCCTTTTTCCATTGAAAGATGCTGTGTAGAAGACTTCAACTCTGCAAGGCAAAAAAAAAAACCCCATTAACAAATTTAAGAACTCTGTTACCTCTGAACCTAGAAAAGCTGTAAGTATATGCTTTAACTAGAGTTTTGATGGGCTTTGCTTCATCCACCACATGCTTTTGTAGCAGAGGCCCTGACTGATGTGAAATCATACAGTTCTAAATGCTCAAGTTCCATACAAGTCTGCTGTTTTTTTTTTCTCCTTTGTCTAGGGAGCCAAAAACATCTGACTGGCAAAGGAATTACATAAATTATTTCAATTTGTTCCAATTATGAGATTCCAGTGAGGATTGTTATTTCCTTCCAAGAACTACCTGGGTCATTCCAGCTGCTGAAAAAGATTTATTGTTTCTCATATTATAGAGCTGACAATACCAGGTACTTCCAAAGTGGAAACAGATTAAGGTAAAGTGAAGCAGCCTTTCAACTGGAAATGGCATGCCTGCACAGTCCGAACTATGTCTGAGGCTTGCCTTGCCTGTTAAGATCATCAGCAAACATCAATTAAAATAATTTCTGCTGTTAATGAGTTTATATTAAGTGGACTTTATTCTATAAATTGTCAGGAATGTTGTATGTAGAGGGTGTGATTGTTTTGACATGGTTGAACACACAAGAAATCTTGTTTTCCACTGAGTTTTAACTGGCACATCAGAAAGCGTTTACAGTATCACAGCTTCTCATACTCTTTTGTTCACATCACACATGCCAGTTATTCCTATAGATTACATGAAGTGTAGCTTTATGTTTACTCAAAGAAGGTAGACATGGTTTTGGTTATAGTTATTATCTGTATCAAATCAGTAGCACTCTTCTGTCTGTTAGCCCAGCTGTAGACTATCAAGAAGCTGCAGTCAGAAAGGCATGGCCTTTGGGGAGCCAAAGTTCACAAGTCAATGAGAGTGCAGCAGCCCTGTGAAGCAAACTTAAACTTATTCATTATTTGAGTTTTGATGCAACTGCAGACCACAGCTCTAAGCACCTGGACTGTGAAAGGCTGAAAATTTTAAGAATGGTTTTAGATGTGTTTAGACTCTTTAAAGCTCAGTTTTGACCAGATTCCACTATGCTATGAAACCTAACAAAATCAGTTACCCAGTTAGCACAGTTACAGTCTGTCCTCTTCATTTCTTAAGAAGCTGGTGTCTGACAATAACGAAAGGGGCGACAAATCCACTTCCAAAGAATCCACACATTAGTGCGAGTAATCGCCATTTGTTATCCACAGAAAATGGAAGGTTCTAGAAGAGAAAAATTAATTTTAGTTTTGCAATCAATACAGTAAGTACTTCCTTGTCAACTTAAAATTGGTGAGAAGTTCAGAGCACTAACAGATGGAGTCAAACTGACAAAATAAATATTCAGTCTCAAAACAATTTCCCTTCCACTCAAGGAAGGAAGTACAGTAATTATAATAATAGCTTGGACGTGACCTCTGGAGGTAGTTTTGTCCACTCTTCCCCGCTCCCCCCAGTTCAAAGCAGGGCCAGTGTGCTGAAGGCCTCATCCAGTCAAGTATAAATGCCCCTGCAGATACAGGCCCCATAGAATCTCTAATCAGTCTGTTCTGATATTTAACCACCTTCATTAGGTATGTAAAACTGGTTTTGAAATGTAGGACTTGAGAGAACCCTTTAAGCACAAGGTACATCAGAAAGCGTTTACAGTATCATTGTTGCGCCTCATACTGCAATGCTCATCATCTGTACCACTGAAGCAGAAGGTTGCACGGAAGGACACTGAAGTCCTTCGCACCACAATTCGCTTTGCTGAGGCTGCAAGAGCAGTACCACGAGACCCCAAAGCCCACCCAACGCCAGCTGGAGCACCGGCAACAGGGCAGCCGTTACTCCGCTCCTCACAACGCCATCCAGGTCGCTGAGGCCTCAGAACCCCTCACAGGGGCTCACCGAGCGAGAAGCTCACCTTGAGGACGCCCGAGCCAGGGCGGGCCTGCGCCTCACCCTCGGCGCCTACGGCGAGCCAGGGCAGGCCCCCGCTGCGGCTTCAGCAACACCCTCACGGTGACCCCTCTCTGCAGCAGTCATCTCCCGGTCTTCCCCCGGTCCCTCACCCGGGAGCCGCGGCGGGGCTCGCCCCTGAGCTAGGCCTGCCGCCGGCTGCCCGCGGGCCGGGCGACCGCTGCCAGCGCAGCGTCCTTCAAGGACACGTTTCTGCCCACAGAACCGCCGCCCTCCCTCCCTCCCTCCCTCCCTCCCCACCCCGAGGCAGGCCCCCGCGCCATCTTCCCCCCGAGCCCGGCCGCAGGCCCCCTTCCTGCGACCTTCAGGCCACAGCCACGGCGGCCCGGGACCTCCTCCCACACTTTACCTTTCCGGGGCCGTCCTCATAGTGGCTCCTGCGGAGGGCGGAGGTGGTAAACCTGCGGACACCGGCAGCCAGCATGGTACCGACAGGGCAGCCCGGCGACCCTCTCCCCTGCGCGACCTTCCCGCGGCACACCCGGCGCCTTCCGGCAGCAGCAGGCGGAACCGGAAGCGGGGGGAGAGAGGGTCACATGGTTGCCTCTGCGGGGCATGATGGGAGTTGTAGTGCCGCGCCGTCACGTGGTCCCGAGCCGCGGCCTGCGGTTGGACGCGCTCTGCGCCTCAGAGGCGGGAGCCTCCCGCCGGTCTCCACCCCCGCCCGCCATTTTGTCGGTTGCCCGGCGTTCTCTCGGGCCTGGGGCGGGCGGAGCTGTTCCGTCAGGTGCGGCCCGGCAGGCGGTGGAGCAGTTTAGACGTGAGAAAAGGAAGCGACAGCAATTATGGCAGTGGGAGTGTGTTACCTCGGGCTAATCTGGCGAATAGCACAGGTCAGCTTGTAAAGTAGAGATCCTGAATCTTCGCTTCTCTGTAGAGTGGCAAAGCGGCGGAGGCGTGAGTCGAAATCCGCGCTTAATCTCTACAGTGCTACAGAAATAGAGGTCGCTGCCCGACGATTTAGCTGACTGCCGTAGTTGTAAAAACTGTAAGAGTCTAGTGAATGTGGTGAAGATTAATGTGGTAGTGCCAGCTGTAGTGTGTATATTCTGGCGTCGTTTTCTTACAAAGTTACACTTCAAAGAAATGTTGACAATATGGAGGAAAAAAACCCCACACCACCCTTCATGTTTGAAAAAGGAATAATCAGAAACATCACGAAGTTACTGCTAAAATTATGGTATTAATCAGTTTCCTTAAATACCATATTTTAAATAAAAGCTCTGCATTTTATTTCAGTAAGAGAGGAGTTTGATGCTGCCATGTTTGTTACAGGAAAACAATTTTTAAGTAGCCTTTCTTCAGAATTACTTAGTATCTAAGGGAGGTGTTTTTTTGTTTGGTTTTTTTTTCACCCTCTCCAGCATAACACATTAATCAAGGCGGGTTGAAAAAACTGCGAATTTGAGCAGTGAGACATAATTAGATTAATTTTTATTTAGAAAATCTATTTTGGAAAATAGAGTAATTAGGAACAGTAAGGAGGTTTTGTTACAGATTGTGTTGAGAGGCAAAGGCTATTCAAGCAGAAGACAGAAAAGCCACATGAAACATCGAAGTGTTTTTTTAATATTTAAAGTGTATCAAATAAAGGTATTCCCATAAAGTGGAATTAAGTGCAAAGATTAATTTTCATGACAAAATTCTTTTACAAATTGCAAAACTATATAACAGAAATGAATTTGCACTAGGTGAACTTGTGAACACTTTCAGTTATGGGAGTAACCAGTAGATTTGGACTGGAGTGCTTTCCTACACCTGAGTTTTAATGTAAGTAAATTAAGCTGCTGCATCAATAGGTTTTTATACTTCTGAGTTCAGCACTTCCTGAAGCTGGAGGGCAATCTCAATTAGTTCAGGTGTGATTTTCTGGGACATTCTCTGTGTAACGCTTGAATTGTTCTAGATTCAGAGCATAATTTAGCTCCATAATTCTAATTGAATGGCTTGTAAAAACAGGAATTCTCAGCAATTGTTTTGACCCAAAGTGCTTTTTTTCTGTGGTGTTTTGTTGACTGTACAGGGACAAGCCAACTGGAATTTTGAGTCAGATAATCCTCATCCATATGTGTGTTGATGTCTTCATCAGAACTTAAAGAGATTTGTAATGCTGTCCTTCTCATTATGGAAGCAAAATCAACACTCCCACTCAGGTGTTGTATTTATTCATATAGCTGCTTGTTCTAGCATTGTTATAACATCTTCTAAAATGTCCTGCATAGATTACAGTTTCACAAACCTGTAGTGCTCCTTGGAAACGATGGGAATAAATGGGTATCATATTTACCATGCAAGGAAATTTTAAGTGGGAGCTTAACCTAATCTTTAGTAATTCTGCTATTCATCATAGCTTTTTCTTAGAGGTTTTATGTGAGTGTCATTTGGTCCTGGTTATTTCTTAGTGCTTATTTTGTCCATAGATACACCATAGCCTGTTCATAGTGATCCTGTCCTGGCCCCTTCACAAAAAAAAGGCTGTGACATGCAACCTAGCTAGGTTTCTTCCACAGTGAATATCAGTGCAAAGAATCCATTTAAGCATGTCTACAGATGGCCTTGTTGTTTCTGAGTATTTATTCCTTGACCATTAATAGGTAATACAGACCTCTAGGACATCTGTTGCCCCTGTTTGTAGATTTAGTTGTGATTCCTTTAGCTAGTTAGTTTTCAGATTTTTTTTTCCTCTATCTAGTTATATTTTTAATTTTATTTGTCAGAGTTTACAATTCTTTTTCTTTCTTCATAAAGTCTGTTGGAGGATGCTTTCCTGTTAACTTCCCTTGTTGTTTAGGCAGCCAGGCCTCCTTTTTTCCATCCTTGCTCAAGCTTTTCCTAGTTGGAATTAATAGCGCTATGGTGCTCTACTTCCTGTATGTTAGTCTGCTTCATCATCTTTTTAACAAGTGTTCTTATTTTATTATAGCTCTTCTCTTCCTGTAGTGGATTTTATGGTGCTTGTTGCTGCTGAAGAGAGGTTGACTATAGGTATAAAGATCCATGTTACACAGTGGCACTTCAGTGGTGAGATTTTATACCAGGTGAAGATCTTTCATGTTATTGAGGACCAAGTAAACGGTTAATTTTCTTCTTGTGATCTCCTAGCCAGCTGATTCACAAAGCAATCATCTATATGGTTTAAAAACTTATTCTCTGCTTAACATCTCAAGGCAATTTTTGCTCAGTCTACTCAGGCATAATTTTAGTTACTGAGCGGAATTGCAGTTCTTGTCCTAATGCTATTGTAAATTTTTCTGGCATACCACAGCTGGTGTTGCCCTCCTGGTGGGGAGAGTGGTGTCACAGTACTACATTGCTACTACTGGACTTCGACCTGCCACCCATACAGGTCTTGTGTTACGCAGTAAGGCTATTTATTACAAAGACAGGTACTAAGCAGTGTGTAGTAGAGAATATTACCCCAACAGTGTCAGAGTTTACTCACTGTCTTTCCTATGTACATTGAATCCTGGTACTACAGTGTTTTGTTGCTTGGCTTCATTCCGGTAACTTTCTGATAGACTGATATGTCATTGTTTCGTTTTAGGGCTGTGTTGCATATTTCCACACAGATTTAATGTTAGAAAGGACGAAAGCAGTAGATTCGATATCTTGACTTCCAGGTAATCCAGAAATCTTCTAGATTGACTCCTACAGTGATATAGTTACAGGCTTTCATTAGCAATAGTAGTTTACTCCTTGAACTGATGGTTTGCAGATGTTTTCCTTGTAGACAGAAATAGAGATCTGTAGGTAGGTAAGATACAGAGTGATAGATCTTCAGAAGAAGGAGTTACCAGTTTTACAGCTGGTGAAGAAATTTGTATGAACACTCATATCTGTTCTTCAAAATATAAGCTAGGAAATGAAGTATGCCAATCCAGGCGTTTGAGAAAACCATGCAGGAAGAGTTTAGAGAAACAGGCTCTGTTGCCATTGATTGGAATTTTGGCAAAGAAATGGAAGATAACAGCTTCCAAATAATTAGAAATATGATGTACAGTAATTATAATGAGGACAATCAGGTAGCAAGGCAAATTATTACAGGAGATGGTAAATGCTCCACTGGGTGCTTTTGTAAAAAAACTGTCTAACACATAAAAAATTGTGGGGCTTACAAAAGGAATTACTGGGTGACATTCTCTGGCCTGTGTTATGCAGGGGGTCAGAACAGATGATTATAATGGTACCTTCTGGCTTTTAAATCTATGAATCTTTGAATCTAGGCTTTTAATTTACATGTAGCTTTTTATATCTACAGTTCTTTCTTCCTTTAAAAAACCCTGTTACTATAATTGCTTGTATTTGCCACGTTATCTTCTTCATCTTCAGTAATATATTACATTTTGCTGCTTGTGAATATGATTTGGTGATGAATTCTTTCAGGTACTGAAAGCTTTTCGGCTACTCACTTTTCCCCAAAAAGAGCATTCCCCTTCTTGAACAGGCAAAAATATAAATAGAAAACTAAAGAAAATAATGCTTAGTATCTATATTTCGTGATCTTGATGAAAGAAAGAAGCATAGGAAGCTTAGTGGACATTTTAGCAAAATACACAGGGCAATACAGGGCTATGCATTTCCAAGCTGATCATGCAAATCACTGAGCTATAATGATAGAACCAAGATACAAGTCATACTGACTTTTTCAATCCTGTTTATGAGTGAAGGAAACAGCTGTTTTTAAATACTGAATTTATATGTGGTTAAGTTTAGATGTATGTACTTCATGAAAACTTTCCAATAGCACAAACTCCCTAAATTTTTTAGTAGTGTCATGGACAGAGGTCTCGGGAGACAAAACAACTATCATATATGACATGAAAATATTGTTTTTCTGCAGAAATTATCCTGTATATTTGTTGGCAAGACAAATTATTTTGTGGAACAGTTAAAATTAGGAGTTAACCTCCCCCTGGACATAAGGTCAGGTATTCACCACAAGATTAAGCAGTTGTTAAATGCTAATTAATGAAGGGGAAAGGCTGAATAGAAGCTGTAAGAGGCATTATATAGTAGATATTAGTTATAAATTTTTAGCAAAACTATGGGTTAACAGAAATATCTCTAACAGAAATAATTTGTCAGTGTCTTACTCTAATTTCACAATTGTAGAAATATGTCTTTCGTAAAAGTAATTCAGCTTGCCTCGTATATGACAGGTCTAAACAGAGAATAGTATTAAAAATAACATGGAGATAATCAACCAAAAAGTGTTAGTATGTGAAGCATCTGTATTTAACACGATGAAAGGCTGAAAACCTTGAAATGAAAGAATACAAAGAATTGTATTTTAAAAGAATTCTTACTTTCTTTGAAAGTAAGTACCTTTAGAAGGTACTTTCTTTGCTTCCAAAGAGTCCACATGAGTTGCTGGAAAGTAAAATAGAGTAGTAAGAGGAATTGTCCTGTGGAAATGCTGTTGTAGAGATGGATAGTATAAGGACGCTTGTAGGAGAAGGTTGTTAGGACAAGTGTTGTCTTTAATTATTTTATTATGAATATAGTTGTTAAA